GCACCTGGAGATGCTACGGGGGCCGCTGCTGCTGTGTTTAGGATATGTTGATTTAGTGCCTCAATTTAGCTGATAAGATAAATAGACAGCTATTTCGATATGCTGGTGTGCTCTCTTTCTGCACTGATCTCCTGCTAGCCTCCTTCACCTGTCTACACAGAAAGTACAGAAAAAAGCTCTGCTGACACGAGAGAAGTAGCGCGGGACACAGGGATGTGTGCCCGCTGCAGCAGCAGCACTCACTGGTGCTGCTGCTGCAACAAAACCTTAGGCGTTTCTTCTTCGCTCTCGCTGGAGAGTTAAAATCAAATTAAAAAATATCTAAAAATTTTAAAACGGCATCGATAGCAACCAGGCAGCAGACGCTGCTGGCAGTGGCCGCAGCTGCCGTCCCCCAAACAACTCCTGGAGGAAAATAGTGGCAACACCCACAGCAGCAGCAGCAGCAGCAGCAGCAGCAGCAGCAGCAGCAGCAGCGGCAAGAGCAGCAACAGAAACCGCGCAGCACCTGTTACAATGGCCATTGCCAAATTTCTCTGTCGTCTGAGCTGAGCAGCTACACTTGCTGCTCCTGCTGCGGCCTGCTCAGGGGGCACTGCATCGGTCTCTTCCACCTACTGCTAGCCGCTGAAGGGGTATAAGAAAGCTGCTGCTGTTGCTGTTGCGATCGCCCGCGCTGTTGCTGCTGCTGCTGCTGCGCTGCGCCTGGTGTACGTTAACCCTTCCGTTGCAGCAGCACCATCGCGTGGCACTCCACTGCCTCGCTGCGGCCCACAGGCCCGATACCTTCTCCTGTCTTTGCTTTGATTGAAATTTGGTTGCTGCTGATGCCAAGGGCTGCTGCTAAGTTTTCAATCATCTGCTGCTTCTTGCTGCTGATGCGGGGGCGCTGCAGCAGGAGGGTCACGTCCAGCTGCGCTACTGCGTACCCTGCAGCAGCAGCAGCAGCTGCTGCTGCTGCAACGAAATCCCTCGAATCTCGCCCTTTGTTTTCAGCTGCTGTGTCAGGAAACTGCTGCCCGATATCTGCTGCTCCTGATGCAGCAAAAATGGCGTCTGCTGCTGCATGCAGCACCACGTCCCCATCAGAGTGAGCGATCACACCGAAGCCCAAATTGCTGCTGCTGCTGCTGCTGCTGCTGCTGTTGTTGCTACTGCTGCTAGCGGTGCCTGTGCCGTATCCCAATAGGCGCCGAAGGCCTAGAGAGGCGCCTGACAGCAGCCGGCGTCCGCCTGAAAATGCAGCAGCAGCAGCAGCTGATGCAGCTGCTGCTGCCGCTGCTATTGCGTTTGGCTGTTGCCGGCTCGCTGCTGCTGCTTTTGCTGCTGCTTCTGCTGCCTCTGAGGCGAACGAGACGCCCGATAGCACTAGGGGACCTAACAACAGCCAGGGCATAAGGTGCATATTAATATACTAGTAATATATTAGTATATTAATTATACTATTGTGGTTATATATATAATGTATACATATATATATATGTATGTATAAATATCTACACAGATGTATAATATATGGGGCCACAACAGTTCTGGTAGTAAAAGGAAACACATAAACAAAAAAGCGGCTGTATGGTGGCGAGCGAAGCGAAATATAAACAAAACAAAAATTTTTATTTTTTAATTACTCAATAGGAAAATAATTAATAATGATAAGAAGGACACGAGAACACCCCTGTAAAATAAATTATTTTGTTTATTACTTTTTATTGTATTTTATTATATAAAGAATCAAATTAGTCACAATCAGCAATCAATAGCGAACTGTTGAAACATAAATTGTTTATCTGATGAACGCAGCGAAAAGAAAGTCAAGAGCATGCAGAAACAACAGTAGCTGCTGCAACAGATGACAACGGAGCAGCAACTAACGCAGTAAGGCAGCAGCAGCCATGCACGCAGCAGCGGCGACTGATAGCCAGCAAGCATAAACACACGTGACGGCAGCAGCAGCAGCAGCAGCAGCAGCAGAAACAGTAGTAGCAAGAGCTGACCTGTGATGGCTTTGGGATCCGTAGAGAGGCGGTGCATGTCGTAGCCATGCCCGATGCGAAACGGCAGCTCTTGTCCTGCTGCTGCTGCTGCTGCTGCTGTCCCTGGTAGCGCTGCTGTTGCTGCTGTGTTATCAGCAGCATGCTGCAGTGCGGCGACCTTCGTTGCGGTTGCTTCCAATGCTGCTGCTGTAGCGGCAAGGGATGCTGCTGCTGCTGTCCGCTGTGCCGCAGCACCCGTAGCGAGGGGCCGTACGAATGCGGTGAATGGTTGTAGCTGCTGTTGCTGTTGCTGCTGCTGTGGCTTCAGCCTTTGCATGCGGCACGCAAGATGCAGCGGAAGAGGCCCCCTTAGCAAGCCAGAGCTGCAGCTCGGAGCTGCTGCTGCTCCTGCCGCTGCTGCCGCCGACTTCGTGTGGACAGCTAGGGCGCTGCAGGGCGCATGCTGCAGCAGCTGCTGCTGCGTTAGCGCCAGCAGCAGCAAACCTAGACGCAAGAGGGCCATTTCCGTCTGACTGCTATTTGATCCAACGGCAGAAGAAA